CAGTTCTTTATTTTCTCATACCAGAAGATGTTCCAGACGTCTTAAATTTTCAATTCCTCAGTAATAGAATCAGCCAACTTTCCAAGAAGCCTGCCTGTTTTGACCAGGCATTTAGAAACCATGATTTGGACACTCTGTTTATTACACTATTTAAGAGTCTGCTTTTTTTTTTTTAATTGTGAAGAAACTCGGGAGCCACACTGCTGACAACTAAATGCACTTTGTAGGAAGCGATGGGAGACTGACAGTCTTCCTCTCTTGATATCTCCTAAAAGCAACTTATACCTGGTGACATATTACAATCAAGATTAAGGAGAAGAGGTAGAACTTAATTGACAATGAGGTTGAAATGTAACACTTGAAGGGATACTAACACCTAGCTTCCATTTAGTAGGAACTTGCTGTGTGCCACAGAATGTGCTGGGAGTCTTATTAACATTTTCTCTGATTCCCTGTGGGAATGCTGGCAGATGGAGTGAGACTGTTCTGATTGGCTAGTAATAGCTGAGCAAGGATAAGAACTCAACAAGATAAAGTGGTTTCTCCTACCACTTTAGGAGAAAAACCAATGTATCTCTGGTATTTGGAGAAGACACTGTAGTGTAGTAACCTATGAACTGAAAACTTGACGTTCTCATTCTTGTTTTGCCTCTCATTGACTGTAAGATCTGAGGTAGCCATATATTTTCTTTAAACATTAATTTTATTGTCTGACTTAATAATGTTTTTTTTTTAAGGAAATCAAATTAAGTCATGACTTGAAAGCAGACTTGTAAACTCTCAAATGCTACACAAATGGATATGGGTACTATTTATCTGGCTATATGAGCCTGGAAGTCTCTTCTGCCAGGGACCATAATTTTCTTAGAAATTAAAATTGAGCTGAATGTAGTTGCCCATGTCCTTGATTGGTGCCTTTAATTCCAGTGCTCAGAAAGTGGATACATGAGGATGTTCTGTATGGTACAGAGAATGACCTAGGACAGCCATATTTGAATAAGTTTGAATAAGTAAGTTTATTAAGTTTAATAAATAAGTAAGTATATAGCAAGCCAAAGAAAAATAATGAATAGCAAATGATTGATTGATAACAGAATATCAAGTTAGATACTCAGTAGAGATAAACTAAGAAAGCCCCCCTAAGGCAGTCAGATGACCTTCATCATAAAGAGATTCCCCTTGGGTGAGGCTTCCAAGTAAAAACAAAGCAAAAGACCAAATAGCAACATAAAGAGATAATACCAAATTAGCTTGTGACATCCAGTAGAAACTGATTGCAAAAGTTAAGACAGTCAACTGAAGTTCCTCATTGTGCTTTCTCCAAATGGCTGCACTCTCAATGATAGAACTGCTATGGCTAAAATTGCAGCTTCACTTTTCCACTGTAGGCACATTAATACTATAGGATGGATAATAGTTACATCTATTAGAAATGGTTTACCCTCTAGCACAGTATTTTAACTCGTTGGTTATTCTGCTGTTGTTGCCTCTCTCTGTCACAGAATCAGGCATGGGGGCCCATCCTCAATCAAGTGAACTTGGAGGACACTTTGAGACAAACATGCTTCAGTCTGAAATGGATTGGGGACAACCCTAATTTCAAAGTTAGCTTCTCAGTGAATTCAAATGGCACATGGCAATTTACTAATGTACAATATAGAGAACAGAGAGTTTGAGGATACTCTGGACTACATAGTGGATTCCAGGTCAGCCTTGACTAAATAGTGAGACTTTGACTAAAAAAAAAAAAAATCAAAGCTGATTGTGGCATAATCTCAGTAATAGGGAATTGGGGACAGGATGATCAGGAGTTCAAGGTTACCATTGGCTGCACAGGGAGATGGAGGCCAGCCCAAGCTACATGACTGTATCTTAATAAAGGAAAGGAAAAAGGGGACAAAGATAAAGAAAAGAAATTAAGCCAGGTGGTGATATCACACACTTTTATTTTTTCTTTTAAAATTTCTTTTTTTTCTTTTTTCTTTACAAATTTATTCATTATATATCCCGATTGAAGCCCTTCCCCTCAGCTCCTCCCATCACACCCTCCCTCCCTCTTCCCTCCATCCCTTTCCCCTCTTCCACTGAAAGGAGGAGTTCTCCTCCTCTGCCATCTGTCCATAGCTTATCAAGTCTCATCAGGACTACCTGGATCCTCTTCCTCTGTGGCCTGGCAAGACCATATCACCAGGAGCAAGTGATCAAAGATCAGGCAATTGAGTTCATGACAGAGGCAGGCCCTGCTCCCCTTACTTGGGAACCCATATGGAGACAGAGCTGCCAATTGGCTACATCTGAGCAGGGGGTCTAGGTCCTCTTCATGCATAGTCCTGGTTGGTGCATCAGTCTCTGCAGGCCCCCCTGGGCCCAGGTTTTTTTTTTTTTTTTTTTTTTTTTAGCTTTGTTGGTCTCCTAGTGGGGTTCCTGTCCACTCTGTGTCCTTCTATCCCCCCTTCTTCCATAAGACTTCTTGCAAGCCCAAAGTCTGGCTATGAGTCTCAGCATCTGCTTCGAGCCTCTGTTGGGTGGAGCCTCCCAGAGGACCCTCTACAGTAGACTCCCATTCTCTTCCCCCTCTTCCACTGCTTCTGGTGTCTATTCTGTTTTCCATTCTGATGAGATTTAAGCATCCTCCCTAGTGTTCTGCTTTAGCTTCTTTAGGTCTGTAGAGTTTAGTATGGCTAGCTAACCTATGTTATACGGCTAATATTCGCTTGTGAGTGTATACCAAACGTGCCTTTCTATTTCTGGGTTACCTCACTCAGGATGATCTTTTATAGTTCCATTCATTTGCCTGCAAATTTCATGTTTTCCTTGTTTTTAATAGCTGAGTAGTATTCCATTGTGTATTTCACATACTTTTAATCCCAGCACTCAGGTGACAGAGCCAGTCAGATCTCTGAGTTCAACGCCAGCCTAGTTTACAGAGTGAGTCCCAGGAAAGCCAAGGCTATACAGAGAAACCCTGTCTTGAAAAACAAAAACAAACAAACAAGTAAACAAAAACAAAAGGAAAGAAAAGAAATTAAATTTACATCAAGAATCCTGTTTTTTCCATGTATCAGGGGATTCTAGGAAAGTCCTTTGGCAAATTTTTAATTAGCTAATGATTCTAAACTTACCTAACCTTATGTGTTTTTTTTTGTAACTGTGATAAGTAGCCCTTAGGATATCCCTTGATGACTCATTTTTGGTATTGATGTTCTTGTGTCATTCCCTCCCAAGGTGTGGGTTGACATACAGACTTGTGTACAAACTATGAATACAACAAAGTGATAGGATTTTACCTCAGTGTTTAGATTACCTAGGAGTGAAACATCTATCTTGCTAAACAATGATTCTTTACCTCGTTGGTGTGTGTGTGTGTGTCTGTGTTACTAGATATCAAACCCATGGCCCTTCACAGTTCATCAATTGCTTTACTTGTGATTTACAATTCTAGTCGCTTTGTTAGCTTTGATGAAGCAAGTTGCCATGTTGGAGAGGTCATGTGTCAGGAAACTTAAGACCAGGAACTGAGGGGGTTCACAGTGCAACAGTCATTGAAAATTTGAAAATATACTAATAATCGTGTGATCTTGGCAGTGGGTTATTCCTCTACTGATTCTTCTAATGAGTCCCAAACCCTGACTGACACCTTTATTGTAGTCTTGTGAAGCAAAGGACTTAAACTAAGTTATGCTTAGATTCCTGACCCATAGAAACTATGAGACAAATAGGGTTGTTGTTCTAAACTACTAAATTTGTGGATGCAACTCAGCAATAGATAAGTAATGCAATAACTACCTCGTATATAATTTTCTCTGCTCTGATCTTTCTTGTATTTAATACAGCTCCATGTTTCCCTTCCTTTGAGCTTTAATTGAATTTTTGCATTTCTTTCTAAATCTTGTCATTGTATCCTTCTGGAAACTTCACTGTACAGTTAAGGGGCTCCCTTATAGGTTATGAAATATGTGCATAGAGCTGGTGAGATGGTTCAGCAGGTAAAGGCACTTGCCACCAAACCAAAATCTGAGCACAAGCCCCAGGATACAATATGAATGGAGAAAACTAGTTCCTGCAAATTGTCCTGTGACAACTATGGTACCTGCACGTGTGTGTACACATGCGCATGCGCGCGCGCGCGCGCGCGCGCACACACACACACACACACACAATAAATAAATACTGCAATAAAATAAAAATATGGAAAATGCTTACTATCTATTTATAAAAATGTTAATACCCTTCAAATTAGTTCATATATTTAATGAAATTAAAATAAGTTTAAATTGTTCTTCTATATATGAATTGTAGCCCTTTATAAAAATAAAGATCTAGAAATAACTAGAAAAATCCTGAGATGACTAATGAATAATGAGTAACCACCAGTCTTAGCACATAATGAAAGAAATTGTGAGGCTGTAGTAATTGTGGTACTGGTTCAAAACTGAAGACCAGATTAATGGAACACAACAGAATGCTTTTAAAAATTAGATTCATGAAGAATTTTGCATATTAGCGATAATAAATTTATTTGTAAAAAATGAATTGTGCAATTCGCTTGTGATTTGGCAAAAATAAAGTCATGTTTTCATCTTATTGCTTATGCTGAAATAAATCCCAAATGTTACAAAAATATGAATATTAGGGGCCGGACAGGTGGCTCAGGCTTTGCAAGTACTTACTGCTCTTGCTGAGGACCCAGGTAAGGTTCTCAGCACCCATCTGTTAGTTCACAACCGTTTGTAATGACAGTTCTGGGGAATATAACACCTCTATCAGCTCCTACATGTATACAGTGCTCACACACTCATGTGGGCTCACACACATACATAGAAATAAAAATAAATTAATGAGAAATATTTTTAAATCAATGTCTGTTATTTTAATTTAGAAATAGAAAACTTCGTAGGGAAGAGGAAAGGAAAGAAAAGCACAAGGCACACAGGCAGCTTTTTACTTCATGAGCTCGTCACACTCTCATCAGTTCACTAGTTCCCACGATGAGAAAGCACTCAGCCACCCACAATAATGTTATTAATAGGGATATGGATCAGTTTCACAAAGAACCCAGTAAAGCCCATGATAGCAAATCCTATCGCTGTGGCTATGACAATCTTCTGGAATTCTTTTCTGTCAGGTTTGGTGCATCTCTTAACTAGCCGAATTGAGTCCTTTATGAACTGCCAACTTGGCTCAACAAATTGCATTACCTATGACTGTTTGAGGGATGGCGGTTTGAGAGAGAAGAGACACGTGGCTTAGGACTAATTAGAAATATTTTTAAACACTAATATTTTATTGCAAAAAGAAAATGAAGACTCCAGATGCCCACCAGGAGATGAATGGATAAGCAAATTATGTCACAATCACACATGAGGGGACTTCTCAGCAAGAGAGGTATGGATTCCTGATAAAAGCAACAAATGGGATGAATCTCAGAGTCATTATGCTGACTGACTGAAGCCAGACTCCCTCCTCCTCCTCCTCCTCCTCCTCAAAAACAAAACAATACAAAAAACCCATCCCCTATGACTCCATTTTTATATTTTTAAAGATAACATAAAACATTAGATAAAAATAAGAACAATAGTACTTCGGGGAGCAGGCTGATTTTGAAGGGTCATTAGGAAGGTGGAAATATTTTGTATCTTGATAGAGATGTGGGTTACATGGGTTCATGTTTTCGTTGAAGCTAAGATTTAAGCATTTCATTTTATGTAAATTATACCCCAATAAAAATTAATGTTACTATTATTAGTTACAGCAGCGCTCAAAGTTTTAAAAGAGTGTGAATAGATGTTTTATAGCCACCAATGGGAAAGGCTTTTTCATGGGACTCAAACCCCAGCAACTCTGAAGGAAAAGATGTTTTCAGCAGACTTTGTTTTGTTCTTTTATTTAATGGGTAATTTATTTATGTAGTGTGGAATGCTAAATAATTGTTTTCCAAGATTGTCCACATCATTCCCAATAACTCGAAAATACATACTTTACATGGCCTTTTAACCAGATGCTATCAGAACATGCTTTCAATGGATAATTTGTTTCTATTTTTTTTTTGTTTTTGAAATTAAAATGTAATTACATTGTTTTCCCACTTCCCTTTTCTTCCTCCAGTAATTCTCATGTACTCCCTTGCTTTCTTTCAAATTTATGGTCTCCATTTCTTTACTTGTGTATATGTGATTTCAAGGCTGACCTTTTGGTTTTAGACAACCAGTTCGGAGGCTCTTCCCTGGGGAAGACTATTTCTCTTGCTCTCATCATTCCTTGGTTGCCTATAGTTCTTTGTCTAGGGTTGAGACTCTATAAGCCTTTCTCACTCTGTGGTAGCATGTCTTTTAGTTTTGTTCTTGTTCAGGTCATATTTAGGCAGCTACACTGTTGAGACCTTATGGATGTAGTTTCTCTGACATTTCTAGAAGACACAATCTCACAGTAACTTCCTGTTCTTACAATATTTCCACCTCCTTGTGTGCAGGAGTTGTATTGTAGATGATTCAGTTGGGGCTATGCTTCACAACTCTGTGTTTTGATTGGTTGTGGTTTTCTGTAACAGTCTCCATCTGTTCCAAGGAGATGTTTCTTTGATGAAGGATGAGACTTATATGTGAGTATAAAGATAAATATTTAAAATGTAGTTAGAAATTATTCTGGCTTAGTAAAGTGGTGGTAACATGTTCTCCTCCAAGATCCATGACTTCGCCATCTCAAGGCAGTTGACTAGGTTTCCAATCCCAGGTATGATTTCCTTCTTGTTGAGTGGGCTTTAAGTCTAATTAGACAGCTGATGATTACTACCCAGGTATGCATATCAGTACTGCACGTGAATGGATAATATGCCATATTGGTTATTGTTTTAGTTCACAGGCTAGATGGGTACTTTGCAAACAATGCAATTATGGTCTCATATTTCTGAAGACTGAAAAGTCTGAGATCACTGGCAGGTCCAGTGTTTGATGAGCATCCACTATTTATATGTGGAATTCTTTTTAAAAACCATGTATCCTCACATGATTAATGGGCAGAAAGGAAGTAACAAGATTTCTCAGGCCATGTTTATAATATCACTAGTCACACTCATGAAGGTGGAGCCTTCCAAAGGCCTTAGTTCTTAATACTGACACCATGTGGCCTAGGGATCAACATATGAATTTTGGGAGCATGCATATATTTAGACTACAGGAGATGGCACAAAGAACTTTGTTGATGTCAAGTAAAAAAATCTTTATAATAGAAAGAACACTCTGGATTGATTAGGTAGGATCAATCTAATCATAAGGGAGCTTACAACTGAAAGAGAAAGGAGGTGAGTCAGAGAAGTGAAACAACTTGTTACAGAAATGAGAGAGGAACAGAGAGAGGTGAGGAGGAGACAGGAGGGGAAAGAGGAGAAAGAAAAGAAACAAAAACTTTACATTTCTAACTTTGGAAGAAGTGGTTATAAACAAAGGAATGTGGGAAGCCTTTAGAAGTTGGAAATAGCAAGGATATAAATACAGAAATATTCCCCTTAGCACTAAAGAGCATGTCCTTTGCTTTTTTTCCATTTTAGGCTCCTGACCTCCAAATCTGAGGATTGAACCCAGGTCCTTGTACATGCTGAGCATGTTATTTTTATAATATTGATTTATTTAGTGTGTGCACATGTGTGCATGTGCCATGGTGCACATGTGAAGGTCAGATGACAACTTGTGGGAGTGAGTTCTCTCCGTCATTATGTGGATCCCAAGGATTGAACTGGGGTTATTAGGTTTGGTGGCAACTTTTTCTTGCTAACCCATCCTGTTGACCCTGAGTATATTATTTTAGCCATTGTTGTAGTTGTTATACCAGAGATAGAAAACTGATACAAATTAAAAAAAAAAACTGTATGTAAAGTGTATCCTGGGAATTATTGTCAATAATATGTCTTCATCTAACTGTTCCCCCTGAACTGTATATAGTAAATATTTTTATTATAGTCTGATGTATTCATTGTTTCATCTTTTTGTACTGGACTTGTATATGTATATATTTATGTGTATACATGTGCTTGGAGGCAACAAGAAAACTTCAGGTGTCATCCTTAGGAGTCACCCACCTTCTTCAATCATTGGCTTAGTCACTCATTGGCTTAAGTAACTCATTGGCTCAGAACTCAACTAGGCTAGATTGAGCTGGTCAATCTCAGGGATGTAAGATTCTGATGTGTCTGTCTCTACAGTACTAGAATTACAAGTGTAGGCTACCACACTGCCATTTTTATGTGGGCTCTGAGGATTAAATTCAGGTCACCATCCTTGAAAGGCATGTACTCTAGCAACTGAGCTATCTTTCACCTTGTATTGTTTCTTTATGTAAGCATATTTTCTTACTTTCTTCTTCTGTGCATAAAGGCATAATCTCATTCACAGACTTTTGCTCAATTTTCTTCAACAAACAAGGTCAATAAATTCAACCATGTAAAGTTAAACACTTGTCAAATAACACTCCAAATGGAATCAAGGCATAAACTTGGGAAAATATTTGCACAAAACCCACACTAAAATCACTAAAATTCAAAAGCTGAGTATTCACTGATAGACAATTGCTCAAGTAAATTATGCTGTATTCATAATTCAAATCATGTGATGATTTCAAATACACAATAGCAAGTAAACAAGGCACTCGCAAAATACATATATACAAATTTTTGCATAGCATAAAAAATGGAAAGAATATGTAATAAACTATAAGTAATGATTATTTTGGGGTGTGAGATTATGAAGGACTTTTTATTTTCTTCATTAGATAGTTATGTAATGTTTAAAGTTTAACATGTGTTATCACTTTAATTATCTGAAAAGGTTGAGTCAAATATTCTCATTCCCATATTCTTCACTAGTAATGGATCTATTTTGTAGTTGGCTCATTGTGTCAACAATGTCTCTGGTTAATTGCATGAGAAAATGAAAGTGGAAATATTGGAATTTCATTATTGAGACTAAAATTATTGGCATTGGAAGGTGTGGCAGAGGCATTTCTGCTTACCAAACTTTTCAGCCCTCTTAGAATTTAGCAAAGCCACTTGGCTGGTTCTGACCAATGGATTGTATGTTTAATAGCAGGTGCTCAATCTGCTTACATCTCCTCCTTCTATTGTGACAACCATAAAAGCTAGATGAGTCAGCCACAAAGATGGTAGTTCATTTATTTGCCTACCCATTTGAGTTATCACTTGGAAAGAAACTTTTCTGAAAAGCTGCTAGACCTGCAGTAGATCTTGCATAGACAAGACCGCTTACTTCATCTGAGTCTTCTCCCCAGCCTAGACTAGTCTTAAACCCATGATCTCCCTGATCCAGCCTCCTGAGTGCTGGAATTACAGGTATGCACCATCATACCTAGTCAAATGCATTTCTTGTTTATGTATGTGTGAAGTCATTTCAAGATTTTGTTAACTCTTCATAGCTTTGGCCAGCCTACCCAAACTAATAGAAGAGACTGTCTAGTAATCTATATGGTCCATGTGGGTGTCCTGGAGAAAAAGGCAAGGTCATAAGCCAGACATGGCTAACAGGATGTAACCTAGTAGAATGTAATCATTTAAACCTAAGAATGGCATGGTTTGATAGGATAATTCTTTCTCACCCACAATCAACATAACACTTGCCCCATACAGCTCTGGGCCCTGCCATTCCACAGATTTTGTTTTGAGACAAGGTCTCCCTCTGTTGCTCAGACTGGCCTTAAACTCATGAACTCAACCTCCTGGGAGCTAAAATTTTATATTTGTGCCACCATATCCAGCTATTATAAATTTCTCGACTTCAGTAGGTGCCTTTAAAAACTACTAAGTGACTCTGTACATTTTTCTGTTACTCCTTCAACATTCAAAGTTCTAGTCAGGATCATTTAATTGGCCAGGTAGAGTCCCCAGGGGATGGAAGAAGAAATATTCTGTGTACTAGAGGTTTCATTGGAAAATCAAAAGAAGTCTTGTAATGTAGCTCAAAGGTAGAACACATATCTAACATTCCCAAGAATCTGGGTTTGATTCTCACCACTGCCTCCCACCAAAAAGCCACCAAACAACTACAAGCTAGGAGAAGTCATATATCTGATAAGGGACCATAAGCCAGGATATATAAAACCCTTCTACAACTCACTAACAATAAGATGCACAATCTAACAGAAAAAAAAAGAGGACAAAGGAAAGAAAATGAAGATATAGAAATGGCCACGA